ACAAGGTGTTATAGTCGCATTTAATAATACTTCCAGATACCTTGATGATATTTTTAATTTAGATAATTCTTATTTTGATCAAATGGTGTCTGACATTTATCCGCATGAACTACAACTTAATAAAACGAACTCTTGGAATTTTAGCACATCATTTTTGGATCTTCATATTACTATCAACAACAATTCTATTCACACGAAAATCTATGATAAAAGAGATGACTTTGACATTTGTATAGTTAATTATCCACATTTAGATGGAGACGTACCCCATGCAACATCTTATGGGGTTTATGTTTCTCAGTTAATAAGATTCGCTAGAGCTTGTAGCAACGTAAAGGATTTCAACGAGCGGAATATTTTTATTACCAGCAAGCTTCTAAAACAGGGCTACCGCTATCATGAATTACGGATATATTTTACTAAACTTTACAATCGTAACTTTGATTTAATTTCTAAATTCAATAGTGATTTAAAAACTCTTCTGCGACAAGGGATTAGCCAGCCTGGTTTTTATGGCGATGTGATTTACAAACTTCGTAAGATTTTGGGTCATGGTAATTTTTCTGCTGTTTTTACTAAAATCACTAAACGTTTTATTAAAAGAGGTTATGACCCTACTATTTTAAGACATACTGCATGTTTAGTGTTCAGCCCTTTTTACAGTTGGACACTACGCTTTCCTGTTTTGATTACATCTGACGGACCAAGTGGGAGACTCTATGATGGATAGTTCTTAAAGCCCATTGGGACTGAATTGTCTTAATGTTCGTCTTCTGCCTTGCTTCGTCGGGCCCTTGTAGGTGATTTTCTTGTTGCCCTGTCTTCTTTTAGGACATTGAGTACTTTTGTTATGGTCATTGGGTTTACTTTTATATGTTTCTACATGATCATTTTAGTGTTTTACTTATTTAACCTTTTGTAACCATGACAACTGTTGAATTTTTCTTGGCGGGGATTCATTTTATGTACACTGTCTCGTTTATAGGAACATGGTGGGGCTAAGAGCGAGGTTTGGTGCACCATTAACCGGTTAAAATTCCCCAGCAGTCATTATTATGCTGCTGGCCGTTCCAAGGCGGCGCCCCTCTGTGTTCCTCAGATGTATGTCTATGTTGTTTCATACTGTTTCGGTGACACTTTTGCTTGTGTCCCTTGTTGTGTTCACGTCTACGGTAAGTATCTTCCCCTTTACCCCTAGTTTTTATTTCTTTGATTACACCCCCTTCCCCCGGTCTCCTGTCCCCTTCCCGTTTGACTTTGTGGGCCTAATATTCAATCATTTATTTGTTTATTTGAATTCCTAATCAGTTGCAAATTGTTTATCATTTAGTGATTAACCTGTCCGTGCTGTCCTGTTTTTGTTTGGGATCCGCCTGGGCTCCTTGCCACTGGTTCTTGTTGCTTGGTCATATGGGGTTTGCGTTCATTGAACGCCGCCTTTCCTTGGTGATCTTGTTTATCATATTTTATCTAGGCATGGTTAAATAATGTCGGAATGGGAGAAAATTGCGTTGGTCTCTCGATTCAAATTTTCAAACCGTCAAATCTGCCCATTTATGAGACAAAATAGAGATAAATCTGCGGTGCAGGGTCTGAGGAAATATATGAATAGATACCGGATTCTTTTCCTTACAAGCAAAGCACAAACACATCTTTTAGAAACTAAACTACTTGTAGTATGGACCTGAATAAAAATCACCTACCTCTCTTCCCATAAATAATCCTCCATCTTAAAAATTCTATACTGTAACCGGAAAACGCGATACTTTAACACGTTACCTACGGTGATAACGGTCGTTGAAATAAAATTGTTTATTTAACAGATACATCAACATGGTAATTTGCCATTACCGACAAAGAAATAACAAACATAATCGAATGGGGTAAGGCCGTGACTTTATTAAGAATTTGGTGCATGAAAACAAAATATAAAAGACAGCTCCAAACGAAACTACTTGGACAGATACATAGCAACGCTAATATTCTTATATTGAATTCAAAATTCAAGAGTCTAGTACCATTCTATATCAATATTACCTAATGACATTCATTACCGACAAGGTTATATGCGCTTTCATTATCAAATTAAAATATATAGTTAAAAGCACAGATAGTTGCTTAAGCCATATAAGAAAAAAGATAATGACGTATAATTTATTATTCCGAAAAAGATCGCCTTCGGTATGATTAGATAAAACCTTTTTTTGTTACCTCTCTTGTTATATTAAGGACAGTTTGAAAAATGAAATAAAATAAATAAGAATAAAAACAACATCTTAGCCTAAATATATAGATCAGCCCAAATTGTGGTGACAATGTGTCCATCTAAAACTAAAAGGCGAGAGTTCAGGTAAAATTTAGATTACTTTCCATTTTGTCATTATGTTTTCAACTTTATAGTAAACGTTATCGGAATAAATGACCACGTTGTAACCCATATGAACATCTATTAATATCCTTTGGAAGTTATACCAACAATGCTCATTTTTTAACAAAGCTGAACAGTCTTTTTATATCTTAGGCACCTTTTTATATTCACCGAAACATTTGTAATGAGAAAGCGTTGTACATGCGCTATTAAAATAATTATTCGTTTAAAAATACGACTTATTGATCTAAGCTTGACAGAGAAAAGAAGGAACAAAAACGTCGCTTTAAACAAATACACTCATGACAATAATATCAAATAGAATTTAAAGCTACAGTCATGCAGGTGAGAAAATCAACATTTGGAAAAATGTATTAAAATTTAGATTTGAATGTTATATGCAAACAAAATATTTTTGTGTGATAAAAACGCAGTAAGGGCTATTTTTTCATATTTTACCCCCATAACAAATAACGCAGGAATTGTGCAAAAGTAACGCAGAATTATGCAATTTAGTGGCTAAAACGAGCACCGCGATACGAAAATGAACCAATATTTTTTTTTGAACACCAAATTGGAAGAAATGAGTTAGCGCATACGGTTTCTGAGACATTATACTTTCAACCTCATCCGTGATAACGTTTATTTTTCAAGATCATTTGTGAAAATGACGATCTGACTAGCGTATTGATGACGATTTTTAGTTTCGTTGATATCTTTAAATACAATAACGGACATTTAACTTTATGATTTTTATATTCGGTGTACATGAGACATTTTCCAATCTACGCGTGTCATATTACATTCAAGTTAGCAGATAAAACGTAATTGAGAGCACTTTTACGAGGTAACGTCTAATTCGTGAATGAAGCGCTGAAACAACGGCGGTTGTCTCTCATTAAAAGTAGCTAAATCCTATTTTACCAGCTTCATTCTATTGTTATACGACACTTGTAGTTTTGTATACAGAATATGAAAAAAATAAAGTGTTAAATGTGCTAAATGTACACATTTCATTGACGAAACACATTTATAAGCCACCTTCAAAACGGTAATTAGATTGTCTTTCTCACGAATGATCTACACCCCTAATGCACTATCTCCACTTTGAAGAGCATCAAATAGGCTAGAATCACTGTAAAGTGTATTGAAACTGAGGGGCGTGGGTTCAAACCCCACAAGGCGCAAATTTTTTTTCTTTCTTTCTTTTTCTTTTTAACATTTTTATTAATCTCTCAGATCCCTAATGGAAGAAAAAAGTGTTTCATTTTAATTATATAATTATTGTAGGTATTTATTTGCTAAATAATGCCAAATTTAATAGCAAATATGATACCAGATATATTCAAAGTTTGATAAAATAAAAACTACACGGTAAACGTATTTTTTATTTTACATGACCAATCAATATACCTTTTAGAAAATTTAGGCAAACTTTGAAAACAGCCCCTCATTGTGGAAAATTTTAGGGATATTTTAAATAAGGCTTTTTACACAGGGAAATGGTCAAATACGTGTTAAAAGTGGGTGGAGTAGGGTTACATTTGTATACATATTAAAAACATATCGTTACCTTAATGTCATTATTTGTTTCTTAACAATGAGCAATAGAAAACCATTCTTCATAATGATGATATTATAGATTATTTAGAGTTTCCTCATTTCTGAAAAAAAAATCCCTTCTAATTGCAAAGTTTTAGTTCAGAAAAATGTCCATAGCTCAAAAACCACACGGTAAATTTTGTTTAAATTTTGCATACATGTGTCATTTAAGGCATATAACTGTCCTCTTTTACAGTTCATTATAGTGCCCATTAGGGGTGTTCTACCTTTAGTATAATGTTGTAGCAGCCGTATGCGCTAATTCATTTCTTTAAAGTGTATTTAGAGTAAAATCATTTGAAATTCGGAATATATTGAAATTATAACCAGTGTGTTCAAGATAAAGATAAAAAGATCAAATTGTTTCAAAAGGGAAACAAGATAATAATTCTTAATCTGCTATGAATCATATTGGGATGACAAAATGCGTTCAACTTTCGTAAATGTAGATACAAATCAAATGATATCATATATAAAATCACTTTCGTGCTAATGTGTCGAGATAGCTAGAAAGATGGGTTTTAGAGAAGAAGAAGAATATTCACAAATTTATTAAACAGTCGAAAACTAAATAAAACATATATATTTTTGTATTGCATAATATCAAAGGAAATTGACTAATATAAATAAGACAAAGCAGGGACCTCACTAACCATGGAATACAATGTACATAAGAGGTAACAACATAAATCATAGAAAATCATCTCTAATAATACTACGCACGGAATTCACTGGCAGGTATAATAACAGTGTAAACTTTCAAAACAGTTTTATACAAACTAGCAAGAATGTTGAGAACGTCATGCATTGGTAACCCATCAAATTAAAACGATTTATTTATAAAAGAAAATAAATCTACTAAAGCTTAAAATCATTATTATATTATACATGTATGTTCAATCCTGAATAAACATAAAATCATGTTAAAATGTTACGCTGTTGAATAAACCTCTGCACAATTTTACATGTGACTTCATCGGAAGAGAAGATCGAGATTAGTTTTTTGGTTATATTTTACTCTTTACACACCGTCGCATTAGAGACTTTGCTACGTGATCAACACACACCGTATACATAGTGTATCAAATGTTGCACTAACATCACGAAAATGAATCGCTTAGTGGATGTATCGATACGAGTATTTGTGATTATAAGCATTTTGAAAAATGGTATGTTCAAATTAACATTTCTTTAGAATTTAGATTTTTTTTATTTTTTGATGAGTCTTATTAATAATTTTACTATACATGAGTTAAAATATTTAGAATTTTGTTTTTAATTCTCATAGGATAAATAGATAAAAATCCGACAAAATATATCAAAACATGTTTCGCTTTAATAAGCTTCATCAATTGATTAACTCTCAGAATATATGTATCTCAAAGAGGAATATTTTTTTTTAGTTTTTTTATTTTTGGCGGGGGTTTCCCCACAAAATTTTTTTCACAAACGAAAAGAATATTATCTATTCAAAGCAGCTTTACAATAGTTTGGCACCAACAGTTTTAGTGAAAATATCAAAGATTTATAAGTTTGTATTGAAATACAGCTTATATATCAAAATATCATGATGATTCTTTGGGATATACGGAGGAATACAGTCTGAATTAGAATGTACACTGAAATCATTTCTAACGCAAAACCTTTAAAAACCGTTTTTCACAGAAATGGCTTGAGAAAGCCCTCTATCATTTTCAGAATTCACCAGAACTTATTATTGATGCTTTGTGTGCATGATTAAAATCATCCAACCGTGACGACTAGTTCCACGCGTGGACTATGAATTCGATTATCTGCATTAGAAGGGAGGTATGAGCTAAAAAGGAGAGAAAAATGAAAAATGAGAGAAGAAAACAGAATCTCTAAAAAAGCGCCCAAAACGGCAACAATAATAAAGTTGCAACATCGGTGTACATGGTAATTGTAAGCTACCGTACCCGCCCCCCCCCCCCCCATTCTGGGGAACTGTTTCGCATTTGAACAAAACGCATCGGTGTAAGAGCTATTGCATTTTTAGATGATTTGGGTAGTGCTGCGCGGACACAAATCTGATTTAAAAAAACAGCCGTCTTTTATATAGTAAAGCAATGTCACGAGTGTGCTGATTTATTTTGGTTAGTTTTGATGCCATTAATGTCTTATATACAACATTTATGCTTAAATTTGATGTTTTATCGTTGCTCATTTGCTTATTAAAAGTTTATTTATCGTTTAATCAGGATATAGTGAATTAATTGTTCAATGCATTATAATAAACCATTATGCGCAATTCTGTCTATATATAAATAAGACACATGGTGTCGGATTCCTGGCACATTACGACATTGACTAAAGGGTACCCGTCCTGTCACAGTATAAAAGGAGTGCTACTTGTACGGAGGTAATGGAATTTTCGTGTCGTTAGGCTTTCCTTTAAATTTCAACAACTGCGCATTCGTCTAGGTAGTATTTATTTAATTCGGCAATACTGAATGTATATATTGCACATCTGACCATTCCTTTGCAGCCATTTTATGCGTGCGTAAATCCTCGCTTGTTATTGCTGTAAAAAACCAAAGTAGTAGTAGTAGTAGTAGTAGTAGTAGTAGTAGTATCTTTATTTACATCTCATCATTGCATATACATGATAAAAAACATACATAACATGCCATAAGTATTGGTTAAAATGGCGGCCATATTGGATTTAATTGAGCATGTCTGTAGGATAAGTTTCCCTTTGATCACATGCTGCCAATCAATGTTGACGTAAATACCACAGATATTAATAGCACATCCATGCTTTTAGGTGTGATGTCATTTATGATGTCATCAATCACTGTGTTGTAGCATTCTTTGTGTAAACAATGTAATGGGTAGGAAAGGTCAAGAATTGTCACCAGATAAGAAGAATATTATTGTTGATTTGCATTTAAAAGGATTTAGACCTAGTAAAATATGTGAGACATTGGATATACCTTATAGTACGGTATTTAATATTTTGAAAAAATTTAAATCATCTGGTTCTGTGGAAAATGAATCAAGAAGTGGCAGACCTGCATTACTGACTTGGAGGGGTTATCGCGTTTTAGAAAGACTTGTGAAAAAGAACAGGAGAAACTCATTATGTGAAATCACATGCAAATTTAGTGAAAATGCTGTGAATCAAGTATCCAAGAGGACAGTCCAGCGTCATTTACATAAACACAACTTTAAAAGGACGGTTTTAAGGAAGAGAGTGGTGGTAACAGTTAAAAATAGGAAAAAGAGGTTGCCATGGTGTTTACAGAAGAGGTGGTGGACTGTTGAGAGACAGTGGAAGAATGTTATATTCTCTGATGAGAGCCAGGTTGTTGTAGGTGGTGATAATAGAGCGTATGTCTGGAGAAAACAGAGTGAAGGATACAGACCGGACCTCATTCCATCAACTAAAAATAGAAAGTTCTCTGTTATGATATGGGGTGTATATGTTGGGAGGGTATTGGAACTGTTACACGTGTTGAAGGTAATATTGATTCACAGAAATACATCAGCATACTTGATGCTAACTTGTGGCCAGTTTTAGTCAGACATTTCCCAGGAGATAATTATTTAGCCTCGAGTGCCCATGTTCCGGTGATATAAGGACAGGATTGAGAATAAAACCAACTTTAAGAATGAAAAAAACTGTTGTAACATTTGCAAAATAAAAACAAATAACTTACCTTCAAAATGCCTTGGTTTTTATTAAAATAGCATAAGTAGTTCATGATTTTTTTTCAAAAGTTTAACCACCTTCAAAAAATTCTTCTGTAAAAACATGGTGCCCTGATTCCGGTGACGTCATACACATGCTAATCAAGGGGAGTAACTTCGAATATAACAACAATTAGGCCACTTACATTTTTATATTGGGTTCTACAGGTACATATGTTTTATACATAGTAATTCTAATTCAAAACATAAATTTTTCATAGTTTTAATCAGTTATCATTGCACATATTCTCAAGGAAGTAAATTTCCAATTTAGTTAATTTACATCTTGTTATATCAAGTCACAAATATGCAAGGATGCAAATTCACTCTTCCTCTTTGCAACATGGGCAAACAAAGTGATCTCCACGCCTTAAGACTCTTTCAGAAGTACAATAAATCAAATGCACCCAGTGGCCACAAGACTCACACTGCCCCCATGCTGTAAACTTTACAAAATTGCGGTTCAACAGTTCAACTGGGGTAAATTTTTTGCATTTACAACAAAGTTCGGACTCATCAATTTCAATTTCACTGTCAGTATCTGACACATTTTCAACAAGATTTATACATGATGGCCCAGGTTGTGGTGATGGTGGGGTCTTCTTTTGCTGTTTACTCTGCTTAACCTTAGATTTTGACTGGTTAGATTTTCCTTGTTTTTGAACATGCTCAGTCATTTGTTTCAGTACAGACTCATTGATTTCCTTACCTGCAACAATTTTACTCATGGTATTTCTTGGTTTTGTTTTGTTTTCATTTTTTACCCTTTTAAGACTAGCCTCTTTCTGTTGCAAGAAATTTACAATGTCCCGAGACATTTCATTTAATTCTGACTGGACCCCACCTATCACTGTTGCCTGGCTATCACCACTGACATCAGTGTCAGAAGAACATGATCTGAACACCTCTGCAGGTAGAAGTTTCTCCTGTGCGATGGCCAAGGGATCAAATGGGTAAATGCCTGCACGGCGGAATGCAGCCTGGACATTATTTGGGGTAAGGGCAGCTAGATAGGATGAACAAGATACTTGGCAAATATTGTATCTGGTAATTACTGATGAAACTTCCCTAATCAGCTTGTGACATTTTATATCATATATTTTCTGAAAGGGGCCAAAACATCCTACATCCATGGGCTGAAGAATGTGGCTACAATGGGGTGGCAATATGAAGATAACAATTCCTAATTTATGTGCCCATTCAGAGAGACCTACAGACACATGAGACTTATGCCCATCTAGGATCACAAGGATTTTCTTATCATTGCGTCCAGGAACAAATTTAAGAAAGTGATGTTCTAAATAATATCTAAAAATGCTGCCATTAGACCAGCCGGTTTCACTAACTGTTCCATCAGCACCTGAAATGTAAAAATAGTTTGATTTAACTATGCCAATATAATATTTTTACTGTGAAAAAAATCTACCAAATATGCTAAAAAATATCAGTATTAAGATATTTGTTAAATAATTAACTTTTTTTAATTAAATAATTAACCTGGCGATGCTCCAATCATAAGCTCAGACCTCATGCGCTGTCCGGGAAAAACAAGATAAGGGGGGATAGCTTGTCCAGCTGCACTTCCAGCACCAATCAAAGTTACAATCTGTCCCTTGCCAGAGGTAACAGCAGAGGGGATGTAACTAGAACTTGACACTACATGAGGAGGCTTATGCTCAACTTTGACTGCCTTTTCATCAATGTTGAAAATCAAATGGGGTTCAATGTTGTGGTTTTCAATTGTTTCTTTTAAGTTGATGAAGTATTTCATCACTGTATCACGTGATGCCATTTTTGCTCGGGCGTGTTCTTGACCCTATAATGGAGAATAATAATATGATTAAGAATATCAATTGATTGAATACAAGTTATGAAATAATACATTAAAAAGCATATTATGATATAGGTCTACTGTACTTGAATATATTTAATTATTAGATGTGAATTATTTCAATATAAAACAAAAAAATACCTACTTTTGGTTTAACAACCTTTAACTCTGGCCACCTCTTTAAAAACCCTCTCATCCATTTCATTGTGAGTGGTCTATCCTGAGTTCGACGACCTAACTGGACAGCATAATCAGTGGCAATGTCAACACACTCTTGTCTTGTGTACCCGTGGCCATATCCTGCCATAGTTTTGAAATGGCTGACAAGATTAGCCTCTTCATACTCGTCAAACAAGGGTTGTCCACCAGCAGACAGAGTATCAATATGAACTAACCCTAAAGTTCTGTCCCTAAGGGTACTCTCTGGGACACCATAGAGTTTTGAGGCTTTTCTAACTGATGTGCCATGCTCCTTTATATGCATATAGGCATTTGTCAATGCTGTAGGGGAGTAAAGCCTGTTTTTACGGCGAATTTTCTTTGGATTTTGCTGAAAAGCAATTTTGAGATAAAACAAATGATAAAAAATCACATAAGAAATAGGTCTGAAAACCACTCATGAAAAAT